GTACTCCGCGGGGGGGGTCTCGGGGTTTGTTAGCCACTGGAGACAGTTGGCTGTCTGGGCCTCTCCTGGACTGCAAGCCTGTGGCAGAGTTCAGGTCCAAACCGGAAGTCTCCCTGGGGTAGGAGCCCCGCAGGCGGAGGACCCAGGGCTGAGTTACAATCGGAGCCTGGATTAGACTCGCCTTTCAGAGTCTGGGGTGCAGGCAGCAGTAATGGGACGCAAGGAAGGAGGAAAGGGGGGCCCAGGGCCCACCTTAGAACGGGGCCTTCTGAGGGAGAGGACAAAGCCACAGCCATACATCCGGCTCCCCCCTGCCAGCCCTGCGGCTGGCCCTTGACAGCAATGCCCTTGCAGCCTCACTCCTCACTGTGAGTAAGGGGTGCACCTCAATGGTCCCTCTGGGCATGCTGGAGGCAAGAATGCGAGGATCGTTGGGGAGATGCCAAGCTGGGCACACCCCGAAAGGCCTGCTGCCCCCAGGAGGCTCACCGTGGACTTGGTCATGTTCTCCAGAGCAAGCTGCATGAACGTCTCCTTCCAGATCTCCTCCAGGAAGTCGGTGGCTTCAATGACCGACTCCAGGGCTCGGAACAGCCGGAACTTGTGCCGGTTGGAGATCTGTAGATGGGCGAGCAGACAGGATGGGGCGGGTCTGATGGCCTGGACGACGCCAGCGGCTCATGGTGGGAGGGGCACGCGAGGGGGTAAGAGGGGAAGAGCACCATGGCTGCGCAGACCGTTACGTTCATAACCATTTAGTGAAAACGTACTACGCTCAGGCCCTGAACCAGGAGCGGCAGAGACAGGAATAAAAATGGTCCCTATCCTCAGGGAACTACCGCGGGCTTTTATAAACATGCCGCCTTCGGGAACCAGCAGTTAGCGTAGTGGCTATGTCGCTGGATTCCCACGTAGTCGACCGCGGTTCGTGTCCCGGACCCGGTGGCTTAAAACTCACGCTGGGCGCGTGTGCGTGCGTGCCCAAGATCCCGAGAGGAGAATGGAAGAGAAGGGATTGTGGCGTGACCATCCCCTGGGGGGTGATTTCTCGCTTTCTGTCTCTATGTATCTCTCTGTCTGGCGAGCGCACGCGCCCTATAGTGAAAATCTCTCCAAAAAAACCAAAAAAAAAACAAAAAAACCAAAAAATCCAAAAACATGCCGCCTTCAAAGCCAGGCGGTTCACTCATTCACCAATGCTTAAACACAGCTTCCGTCCATTCACCGTTCACTCGTCCCTCAGCTCACCCACTCATCGTCCACCCATCTCTGCCACAGGGTCTGTGACTTACGGGGAGGCCCTTCCTTTCTGTAAACCCGAGTTGGGTGAGGGTCAACATGGCTCCCTCCTGAGCATATTCTGAGGGTAGTCAGCACACGGTGGTCCACCTCCCTCCCTCCTTGCTCAGCCCACGGATGTATGAGGGGATGAAGGCCCGTCCCAAAGTATGTAGCACTCTACGTGGGACCCGGGGTTTGGACCCACTTAGGAACCAGTCTCCCCGTGCCCCCTGTGCCTATTCCAGTGGCCGAGGCAGCCCACCTCTGGGTTGTCTGTGAAGTAGTCATGGATGGTCTCCAGCACCAGGTTGGGGGACCTGCGAGCCATGTTCTTGATCTTCTTGATGATGTACTTCAGGTGGAGGGGGTCCGAGTCACTCATGTCCCGGAACATCTTGAAGCAGATGGCTAAAGTTGGCAGGAGCGTGTGAGGGTGGGTGGCCTGTGGGAAGGTCACACTAGCAGCAGGAAATGAGAAGGGGTGGTCTGCAGATGAGGGCTGGGGGACTGGGCACATGGAGGCTCTGGATCCTCTTACTGTTCAAATAGCTCTTCTAGGGTTCAAGATAGGATGAAGAGCAGGAACACATGCCCACCCGTGTAGCCTTATCCGCACTCCTATTCCACCCACTTGCTCACTGGCCCTGCCAGCTTTCTCTCCATCTGTGAGTCCATTCATCTGTCATCCGGCTAGCCATCCGCCCCTCTGTCCACCCACCCACACATTCGCCCTTAGACCTATTGTCCCACCAGTCCACCCATTCATCTGTTCATCTTCCCATTCATCTACCCAACATCCATCTGTCAATAAGTTTATCCATCCATCCATTCACACATCCACTCATAAACGTATCCACTCATCTACCCACCGTCCATTCATCCATACACATACGGATCCACTCATCTACCCACCCTCCATTCATCCACTCATAAACGTATCCACTCAACTTCCCACCCTCCATTCATCCATACACATATGGATCCACTCATCTACCCACCCACCATTTATCCTTACACACACGGATCCACTCATCTACCCACCCACCATTCATCCATACACACATGGATACACTCATCTACCAACCCTCCATTCATCCATATGCACACGGATCCACTCATCGACCCACCCTCCATTCATCCATACACACATGGATCCACTCATCTACCCACCCACCATTCATCCATACACACACAGATCCACTTCTACCCACCCACCATTCATCCACTCATAAACATATCCACTCATCTACCCACCCTCCATTCATCCATACACATACCGATCCACTCATATACCCACCCACCATTCATCCATACGCACACGTATCTACTCATCTACCCACCCACCATTCATCCATACACATATGGATCCACTCATCTATTCACCCACCATTCATCCATACACACACATATCCACTCATCTACCCACCCACTGTTCATCCATACACACACGTATCCACTCATCTACCCACCCAACATTCATCCATACACACATGGATCCACTCATATGCCCACCCACCATTCATCCATACACACATGGATCCACTCATCCACCCACCCACCATTCATCCATACACACACAGATCCACTCATTTGTTCATTGGTTAACCCATACATCCCTCATTCCTTCACTCACCATCCTTCCAGACATCTAACATTTAGTGGTGTTCGAATGAAGGAGAAACAATATTCCAGGGAGGGGCCAGGATCAAGCAGAAGTTCTGAGATGTGAAAGGGGTAGGGAAATGGATAGTGGGGTGTGATATGGGAGATTTGGTGAGGCTTTGAATGGTGCCTTAGGAGTCATGAAGAGGCCAAGAGGCATGCACAGAGCTGTCTGCTGAAAGCTTCATCTTCATACTCCTTGACATCCCCAGGGTCCCCAAGGGGGACTCCTTGTAGCCCTCACCCTCAGGACTGCTTTGGGTAGAAGCATGTGGTAGAGCTACCGGCCCCCTACCCTGCGTCCTACCCTGCGTCCCAGGGCTATGATCACCTGCATTGTAGGCTTCCTCCATGAACATCTGGTGCTCCTTGGGCACCAGTGCAGCCTGGCTACTTTGTGACTTGCAGAGCAAGATGGTGGCGGGGTGTTGTCGTCTATCCCTGTGGACAGAATCCTGAGGTACTTTCAAGTAAGACGGGTTCTTCGTGGATGTGGAGACATGGGAAGAGATTCTGAAATGCAAGCGGTCCTGGGTGTAAGTATTAGTGCATTCGGGCACATTTGTAGATGTAAGCATGAGAGACACTTGGTGCAGCCTTGGTTTGGACCAGGCTCGGCACCATCCTTCCATCTCTCCATCTCTCCACTCAGTGGACTGGCTGAGACCTGGGAGGAAGGCGGGGATCTTGAGGTCTCAGGACACGATGAGTAGGCAGTATTGCCATGGGCCTTGGAGGTCTGGCTTTCCAGCAAGACTTGATGGGACACAGGACTGGTGGGACATGGGAGGGCATAGTGTCTGGCATCCCCAGCTCTGCCACTGGCTTGGAGGAGCTGATCTCTTCAGGAGTGCGCACATAATTGTTCTGGCTACCTGGATATCCCTGGTGGAGATGCCGAGGGGAGGGGAAGCTAAAGGAGCCATGGAGCTGGGTCATTAAAAGGATAATAAAGGAATACTATGGGTAGTATATTCATAATGAAAAATTCATAAATTTATAAAGGAAAATTATGATGAACAGTTATTAGGAAATAATACTATAAAACTACCCCAGAAAATTAAAGAGGAGGGAGTGCTACCAACTCATTCTGTGAGGCGAGAATGACACTGATACTAAGCCAAAGACAATGCAAACAAACAAACAAAAAAGGCCTAAAATCACCTGCGAACAGATGCAAACTTTCTTAACAAAATAAACAGAAACACTCATCCATAATCTCCAACTGTGGTTTATCCTTAGAATGAAAGGTGGTTGAACATTTGAAAATCAATGTAATTAACCGTATTGATAGACTAAAAAAAAAAATTCTATCATCATCTCAATAGATGCAGAGGAAGGATGTAAAAAAATTCAGCATCTATTCACGATAAAAAGGGAAATTAAGGGTACTTCCTCAACCTGATAAAGAGCATCTACAAAAATCCCGCAGTTAATATCATAGTTAGTGGTTAAACATGGAATGTTTCCCCACACGACTGGATGAGGCCAGGGTATTTACCCTTCTTACTTCTATTTAACATTGTACTGTGGATTTAGTCAATGCAGAAAGTCCAGAAAAAGAAATAAAAGACATACAGGCTGGAAAGGAAGAAGCAAACCATTTCTATTTTTTGATATTTATTTATTATCCAAGTACAAAATTCCAAGGCATCTGCAAACAAAAAGTTACTATAACTAAAAAGTGAGTTCAGCAAATTTGCAAATTATAAGGCCAAAACACAAAAATAATTCTTATTTCTACATAACAGCAACGAACAGTTGGGAATTGAAATAAAAATTACTATTATTTGTACAATAGTACATTAGCACTAAAGATAATGTTTTTAGGCATAAGTCGAACAAATAATCGCAAGACTTATACAATGTAATCTACAAAATATTGGTGAAAGAAAGACTAGCAAGGGGAAAGATATACCATGTTCATGAGTTAGAAGACTCAATATTGTTAACATGTTAATTTTTCTCTATATTTATCTAAATATGCAATGCAATTGCAATAAAACCCTAGTCAATCCTGTTCATGGTGCCCACACTCTGGGTAGGGAGAGGAGGAAGACATGGAGGCCATGGGCCATGTCAGCTGGAGCATGAGGTGAAGAAAAATCAGGCAGGGAAATGGGATTGAGCAAATTGCGAGGGGTCAGCTCTAGATAAGGGTCAGCTTGGGAAGGTCTGGCTAAGAACGTGCTATCTGGGTAAAGTTGCCCAACAGGTGCCCAATGTGTGTGTGTTGGCTGGTAGAATAAATGATTGGCTGGCCCCCGGATTAAATGTGTTTTGAAAAATAACAGAAATGGGTCAACTGGTGGCATGGTGGTTAAAGTGGCTGACTTCCCAGTTTGAGTCCTTGACCAGTGCCTTGAAAAACACCAGGTACATGTGTGTGTGCCTGAGTCTCAGTGGGAAATTGAAAGGGTTGGGATTGCAGTGTGGTCATTTTCCCCGGGTGGGGGGCAATTTCTCACTTTCCCTCTGTTTCTGTTTCTTTCAGGAGCACCTGTGCCCTATAGCAAAACTCAAAACAAAACAAAACCAAACCCTAGCAAAATAACGCAAGCACACCATTAGTGAACACTGTGAGGGCAGGGTGCTTTCTTGGCTTAGAAGTGGCATGGGGTTTTGGAGGAGATGGGCCTGACGACGCACCAAGAGACAACTACAGGGACCAGGATAACTGCTCATAGCTGGCAGCCCAGTCAGCTTGGTCCTCACCGGGAGAGCCCAGGCTGCCTGTGCCCCCTGGGAGAGTAGAGGTTGGAGGAGGCGCAGGAGGGGCCTGGCTGGCCCAAGTTGGGGGCCTGGCCCTGTGTCTCCTGGGTCTCTGAGGGACGCCATAGGGCCTGGAAACCATAGAGGAACCTCCCTGGGAATCTCTACAAGGACACTGGCTGTTTCATCATCTCCACTCTGCCCAGGAGAGGTCAGTGCTCAGAAAAGCAGGTGTTCAGCCTTTTTATCTGTCCACTCACTCAGTCACCTGGAAGGATGCGCCGGTGTGGCTGTCACATAGCTGTCCTCACCTCTGGATGTCACAGACCGCCAGTTGCCATGGGAAGACAGGGCCTCCTCCAGTTTAGGCCTCCTCCCTCCCTGCCCCCTCCACCACACCAAGGGGTGCTGGTGTCATGGTCACCCAGAATCCTCCCTAGGCTCCAGTGGTAGGACCCTCCTGCCTTGGCACAGGGGCTGGAGGCCAGCTCCAGGTGCCCCCGGCAGGTGAGAGATGGAGAGGCCAGGGCCCCTCCCGGCCGGGGCTGCACTGACCTGGGGTTGCAGGATGCAGCTGACGCCATCTTGCTGGCTGAGGTGTGGCTATGTGGCCTCTCCGAATACTGCCTGTCCATGGCTGGCTGTGGTTCGGAGGACTCATAGGCCCCACCGCTAGCTCTGTCTTCATGCCCAGCAGGCCAGCCTGTCTTTGCCCCGCCCCTGCCAGCGCTGACCTCAGCCCTGAGGTCATAATGGCTGCAGTATTGGCACAGAGCTGTGGAATGGGCATGGTTTGTCGGCGGTGTCTGGGCAGGCCAGGGTGCACTCAGGTCCCTTCCAGGCGTCGGCCCGGCCTGCCCTCTCTGGGCCTTAGCTGTCCCCTGTGAGATGCCGGTCCAGCTCAGGTCGTTCCTTTGGTGGTCCCAAGTCCCTGAGCCCAAGGCAGGTCTTGGGCCGGAGCTGACTCACCTCCAGGGCTCAGGTCTGGGGCTCCCCTCTGGGCGTGATGCTGGCCCAGGAGTGAGAACTGCTGGGCAGCCTACCAGAATCAGCGCCGGCCTGCCCTCCTGGCCGAGTGCCCTGGGGCTAGTGGCCCTGCCTCTCTGTGTTTCCCGCCCCCCATCTGTAGGTAGGAGTGCTACGCTTGGAGGGCTGGAGAAGGGCAGGCTGAGGCCCAGCTGTGATGTCCCGCATCTCAACATCACGGCTGGGCCAGAGGCCTCCCGCCCAGCCCAGGGACCCCTGCCACATGACGTCATTGCTGGCTGATGCCACCAAGCACCTGAAGGTGGAGCCCTGGACTCAGCTCCGGGGCACCTGTGGTGCCGAAGCTCACGCAGCTAGGGAAGGGAGGTCCGTGGAGTCCTGCCGGGCCTGCGTGGGCCTGGGGGAGGCTGGTCTAGGCCATGACAATTTCTGAGTGTTGCCTTCAGCTGTGACATTTGGGGACATTTGTTATGTGGGATAGTTAATGCACAGCCCTTGCTAGGGAGAAAGCCGCAGAGAGGATTCTGGGTGACTCTGGTTTCCCACACACAGGAAGGACATGGTCTCACTGAAGCTGCATGGCAGAGCTGGGTCGGGAAGGTGGCCTGGCACTCCCCATGTGGACCCTGTCACCATGCCCTGCTGCTGCAGATGCTTGGGGCTCACTTGAGGATTGAGGGCTCAGGGAGGTGCTGTAGGCACCGCAGGCCTGTTTGTCCCTGGGTCTGCCAGGTCAGCCCTGTGAGCTTCTGCCTCCGCCCCGCCTCCCCGGGCTCAAGCAGTCCTGGCAGTCATGTGGGCCCTGCACTCCAGAGGCCGCCAAGTGCTGGGTTCAGGGGGAGGGGTGGGGAAGCCTCAGACTGTACCAGGGCCCATGGGGGCTTTAGTGTTGTCTGGGGGCTCCTCTCCAGCTCTGGTACCTGTGGATGGACCCCTCTGCAAGACCACCCCTCTGTGGCCAGGAGCCGATGAAGCCCACCTCCCAAGGCTGCCGTGGGACTCAGCTTTCTGTGGCTCAGGATGGTGGCTGCAGCTCGGTGCTGGGTTGTGGTCACCGAGGCAGGAGTAGACTAGATGCACCGGAATGACGCTCACACAAGGGAGGTGCTGTGGGTTCCCAGGTGTGGCCAGGAGCAACTGAGGTGCAGAGGGGTGAGGTGAGGAGGAGGAGGGTGCCCTTGTCCAGTTGTGCAGGTCCCCGTGGCTTCAAGTATGTCACCCACTTTAGCCTCACCATGCCCCAGGAGGAAGGACCTGCTGTCATCCGAGGCCAGAGGCAGAGCTGCTGGCCCGGTGGCTCCTCAGTGCACCTGTGTCCAGAGCCTGGGCTGCAGACAGGCTGCGGGACTGAGCCCCAGTGTGGGGAGAGGAGGTGGGGCCCTGGGGAGGCCCTCTCCAGAGAGGCCCCTCCCAGCATGTGGGGACATGGACAGAAGGCACTGTCTCTGAGCCAGGAAGTGGGCCTTGCTGAGACACTGACACCCAGACGTTCTGCCAGCGCCCCCATCTTGGCCTGGCCTCCAGAACAGTGAACCCCCATCTCTCCGAGTTGCCCCCACGGTACTGTTACAGCGCCCAGTGAAGACCCTGCCTCTGCCTGGAGACCCCAGACATGCTTCCACCTCCCTGCACCACGCAGGGTGGTTAACTCAGTCCCTGATCATCAACAGTGGGCCCTGGGCTCCACTTGTGCAAGGCTGCAGGGCAGGTGTGTGGGGGTGCCCCTGCTTCCTGGGAGCTGCGCCTCAGCCTGGGGGCCCTGCAGCATCTTGGCCGGGGAGTGCTGGCTCAGGACTAACTCCCACATTTCGGGTTGTGGGTGCGGCATGACTGACGCACAGGCTGTGTTCTGAAGGCAGGAGCACCCCCCCGAGCGTCACTCACACTGGACTGGACTTCCCCGGTGTCTGTGCTTCTTGGCTTACGACACCTGTCTCCTCAGGGTGACCTGCATCATGGCAGCTGCCATGGTCTCCCAGCTCTGCGTTCTGGGGCATCTCACTGGTGCTTAAGATCAACCACAGAGGGGTGTTTACCGAATGGCGGGCAGAGTGGGCCACTTCTTTTCTGTCCCTGTCTTGGGGCTAGACATAGGCATCCCATTGGGCTGCCAGATTCCCTTCCAAGGACTCAAGGCAGCGGAGGTGGTGGAGAGGGTGCAGAGAGGCCCAGGCCGCGGGGGACGAGCCCGGGGGCTTCCCAGACCCCAGCCCCAGACTCCTTTGGGCCTTCTTGGCTCCCGATGTTCCAGCCTACCTGGGGCCTGGGCTATGATGAGGTGGGCTTTCCACGTGGCGATGTCGTCTCTCAGGAGACTGCTTCAAAGCAAGAGCTTCCCAGCAGGCCTTGGGCAGGCAGAACGAGGTCAGAGGTCGTGGGCGCTCTGTCTCTTGGTCCAGCATCACATCAGGGCGTGTGGGAGAGGATGAGCCACCTCTGAGCTGACCTGACTCCAGGGGACGTGGGCAGGGTCACCTACAGAGACCTGGAGTACGCCCAGTCCGCCTCCCCCTACTCCATCGAGAGCGGTGGGTGTTAGGCTCCCAGGCTGGGCGGAGCCCTGTGCCTGTCCCCGAGCCGTCCCCTTCTGCTGGGTGCAGCCTTCCTGCTCGGTGGCTGCCTCCTCCTCACTGCCGCTGGGTGAGCTCACCACCCTGAAGTTAGGATGAAGCTTAGAGCGCAGATAACTGGCCGTTGGTCACAGCGCTGACTCAGGTCCCTAACCCGAGTCCAGAGCGTGAACGAAGATGCTTGGTCATTGACATCCCTCCCCAGGGCATCGGCCTATCTGGGTGGGGCCAGGGAGTCCCTCTCCCCAGTGCCAGCCCGGAAACCACGCTCCCATGCTGCCAGTAGGTGGCAGTGCAAGCACAGGCAGGACTCCTGGTAGGGAGGGCCGTGGTGGGAGGATGTACAGGGCCTAGAACCTGGCCGGGTGTCTGCCCAGCCCAGGACCCACCAGCACCCTCCCTCCACACGGGTGGGGGGCCTGGCATCCCCCACATTAGGCCCCTGATGGGACCTGGGCTGTGGACAGGCCATTCCCCTCCTGCCTACAGGCTGCCGGTCCTGCCTGGGGATGGGGTGCTGACCTCATGTCCAGCCCCTCCTCCCTCCCCTCCTCCAGGTTCCCAGGCTGCACTCAGCTCAGTCCTCTGGGGCTTTGCTCCTGCAGCGCCCCCTCCTGGAGCATGTCCCAGCCCCGCTTCCCTGAAGAAGCTCCTTGCATTTCTTGTTTGTACTGGAGACTGCCCACTTAGGACACCTCCTCCTTGAGGCCATTCCTGATTTCTCTGGGCTCCCATAGTGTTCATTCTTGCTGTGACCCGTGCTGTCACACTGGGCCCATCTGGGGGGTGGTGTGGTGGAGGCTGTAGTATTGACTGCAGGTGATAGGCGGGCCCCCTGGGCATGGTGCTCCTCCTGCTGGCCCGCAGTCCCTCTGTCTGCTGCCCCCAGCTGAAGAGACCTTTCCTTGAGGTCTCTCCCCGAGTCACTGACACCTCACCAAAGACTTAAACGTGACACCTGAAGCTGCAAGGCTCCTAGAAGGGAACACAGGGAGGTGCCTGATGTTGGTTTTGCCAACAAGTTTTTGGAAATGAAGCCAAAAGCCTAGGCAGGAAAAAACCAAAGTAGACAAACAGGACTACATCAAAGGAAGACACTTCTGCACAGCAAGGGGAACCACGCAAAGGCAGCCTATAGGTTGGGAGAAAATCTTTGCAAACGCTACGTCTGATGGGCTAATATGCAAAATATATAAGAAGCTGCTCTAAACCAAAGAACCAATTAAAAAACGGCAAAGGGTGAATAGGCTTTTCTCGGAGGAAGAGACGAATAGGCTACAGGACTGTAGAAAGGTGCTTAACCTCGCTAATCACCAGAGAGATGCAAATCAGGACCACAAGCAGGCGACACCCCGCATGTGGGAACGGCCATCGTGAGAAAGCGAGGTAGGCGCTGGCCAGGATCTGAACAGAGAAACGTGCTGCCTGTCGGAGCGTACACTGGTGCAGCCTGCACCGAAAACGGATGAGTACCCTCGACTAAAACGAGAACAGTCACGTGACCTGGCAATCCCGCTTCTGTATATATAGCCCTAGCCGAGGGAAACAGAACAGGGCTTGAACGAGAGAGCTACACCCTCTGTTCACTGTAGCACTATTCTCAGTAGCCTAGATTCGCAACGACCTAGTGTCTGCGAGCAGATGAATGAGAAGGAAAATGTCTCATATACATAAAGTAGAACTCTTAATTACCAGAGACGGTGTGTGCTTGCCGGGGTAGGGAGAGACAGAGAAGATGCCACCCAGTGGGCACAGTCACGCAATCCCTTCTCTGTCTCTCCATCCCGTCGGGATTTGGGGCACACATGCACACACACCTGGCTTGTTTTCCAGTTCACCAGGGCAGGGTTTCAAACTGCTGTCAGTCATGTGTCAGCTCCTCTCGCCACTGAGCTATGGGGCCAGCCCGATAAAATAGAACTTTATTTTTTGTTAGGTTTTTGCTATAGGACGTGTGTGCTTGCCAGAGAGAGACAGAGGGAAAGTGAGAAATCGTCTCCCAAAGGGATGGCCACGCTGCAGTCCTTTCTCCATTCTCCCCTCAGGATTCGAGGTATGCACGCACATGCCACCAGTGTGATTTTCAAGCTGCCAGGTCTGGGGCTCGAACTACGGTTAGCCACGTGGGAGTGCAGCACCTTAGCCATTGTGCCATCTGCTGACCCCCAGATAGAATATTTTTAAAAAGCTTATTAACTTATTTCTTCCAAGAGAAAGGGAGAGAGGTGCACCCC